CGTCCTGCCTTCCTTCCCAACGGGGTTCTCCTTTCCGGACAGATCGGCGTCCTCGACACAGTCGAGGTGGTCTGAATCTCGGGGTGGAGGGCCATTGGGGGAGGGTTTTGGTCGTGAACGGGGTGGTGTCGGGTTCGGGGGGGGGGAGGAGACAGCCCTTGCACCCTCGTTGCCCCGCTGCTCCCCGGTGCCCTGCCTGGCCCCCTGAACGGGGGGTCAGGCGGGCCCGTGGCAGCGGCTGGTGGCGACGGCTTTGCAACTTCTTATTGATGTACCTGCTCTGATTTGTCGCTGTCCGGGTTAACGGCCCCCTTCTGTTCTGGTCGAGGGGTCGGTCTTGTCGGAACGGCACCATATTGTAGACATCTCGGCAAACGAATATCTTGGCCCTCGCAACGATGAAGAGCGCAGCAAACTGCGATACTGAATGTGAATTGCAGAAATCCGTGAGCCATCGATAGCTTGAACGCACATGGCTCCCAAGGCTTCTGCCGAGGGCACGCCCGCCAGAGCATCATTGGATTCCTCACGACCTCAGCACCTTCTGTTTCGGAGAGTGGTGGGGTCCGTGGTCSTGGCTTCCCTCGCTTCCCACTTGGAGAGCGTCGATAGCCTAAAGTGGAAGGGAATTTGAGAGCGTTCCGAGCGGGCCTGTGGGGGCCGCAGCCCAGAGTGGTGCATTTCGCTCCGCCCTTTTGTTGCCCTCCAGCACCCGTTTGTGGGTGGTGGTCTTCGTTTCCCTGAAAACGGCACGTAAGGTCGTCCCTCCGGTTTGTGTGGTTGCCGCCTTCCATTCGCTCCCATCAGCTTGATGTGGGCTTGCGGTTCGGGGTGTCGGCCTCGAGCTGTGGCGGTACGTCGGGCCTTGCCTTTTGATCTCAGGTCGGGCGGGAGCACCCGCCCAATTTAAGAATATAACTAAGCGGAGGAAGAGAAATCAACGAGGATTCCCTTGGTAGCGGCGAGCGACCCGGGAATAGCCCAGACTGAAAATCCGGGGGCTGTGCTGCTCCCTGAATTGTAGTCTTGAGAGGCAACCTATGCAGCGGGCCGTGTGCTGGTTCCCTGGTTCCCTGGAAGGGGACGCCGAAGAGGGTGACAGCCCCGTCGACCGCCGGACCCTGCTGCGCAACGAGGTGTTGTCCAAGAGTCGGGTTGCTTGGGAATGCAGCCCCAATTGGGTGGTAAGTCCCATCCAAGGCTAAATATGTG